CGCTTGGGCGTCTCGTTCCTGTAATCGGATCTGTGAGCAGACATCATCCAGTCAGTAGCGGCTTATCGAAGCCACCGATCACGCACCTGATCCCAGCTCTGCGCTCCCTCTCAAACTCGGTCCACCGCTTCATTACGATATGTGTCGAGTCGAATTCACCCTCCTTGTCCCCATGCGCCGCCGTTTCCTTGTTCTCGCCATCGACCATACGCGTCTGGCCCCACGAGAAGTCGTCGAAATGCCAGAAGCTGTACGCCGGCAGAACACCGTTCCAAATGGGCAGACTGATCAGGTAGATTATCATCCATCCGAGGTACGCAATTTTCCGGCTCGTGATGACGATCAGCACGAGCGGAATCCCCAGCACGAACGCGAGGAGTACGAGGGAAACCGTGGTATTGGGGCCGCCGGGGATGATAGAGCTGATGATCAGGTACAAGGTGAACGAGATGGCGGCGGGCAAGACCAAGGTGCCCGCCAGCTCCATTCCGACGACGAACTGCATCGAGAAACAGAACGTCCCGCACAGATCCCGCACAAGAATCAGCTCGAACAGATTGTGCACGGTCGAGTTGATCCATCTGCGTCTCTGCGACAGCAACACTTGGAACGTGTCGGGCACGATCGTCTTGCACACCGCCGCAGGGCAGAACATGTTCTTCCGCTTGGGGAACGTCTTGAGCATCAGCGTGGTGAGGTATCGATCCTCGCCGAGCAGAAGCAGGTTCTTCTTGTGCAGTGTGTCGACCACGTTCTCCGAGTAGTGCTCGACAACATCTGGATTGGCCAGAATCGGCACCCAGAAACCAGAGTCTCCCTTCGGCACCTTGATACGGTACATGCTGAAGCATCCGGGCAAACAGGTGACACCGCCGAACATGGATTCGAAGGCCTTCGTCATGTGATGCGAGATGTAGTATTCGAAGACTGGGAGTGGTGAGATCGCATTCAGGAGAGAATGGGAAGAAACACACCTTGCATCATAGTCACAAACGTCTCCGCCTTGTTCGCCACCTTCGTCTCCCCGCACAAGCCCATGATGTCGTGGTCGCGCACCATGCAGCTGACCATCCGATTCAATGAGTCCGGGAACACTTTCGTGTCCGCATCCACACAAAGCACCAGCTCGTACCGATCCGGGCTCACTCCCGTCACCCGCCACAACGAATTGAAGAACTCGTACTCAAACGTCGTCATGCGCTCATCGAACATGACCTTCTGCAAGAACGCCATCAGCACGATCTGCGAGTCCCGCTTGCCCCGATTCCCGGGCTTGGCGTCGTTCGCTTCGAGCGGGTTACCCACTTTCGCGACGAGAACGATCGGGACGCGCTGTTGCTTCGATCGCTCGACAGTCGAGTTGTCGTATTCGTAGTAACCGGCATACACCTTGGCCATGTTGTGTCGCTTGTGCCCATCAGCAATGGCGACATACGAGTGCGGCTCCACTTCATCTATCGGCACGACCAAGTCGCGCATCATGGACAGACAGATGTCCGGCGTAGTCAGATCGTTGCCGGCGCCCTTGACCATGCCGTCCGCGATGATGAGAATCACTTTGTGGCTGTTCGGGTAGTCCGTCGTCGAAAGCGAGTCGAGGGTCGTACGCAAACCCTGCACGGATTCGGAATATGCCGTGACGAGACAGATCGTGTGCGCGAGTGGGAAATTGAACGGCTCGTAGTCGGGTGGCGGCTGGGGTACCACGTGCCGGCCCAGAGGGAACGGACAAGGGTTTTCTGCGAAAGCGCCCTCGCTAAACACGGTCGAACGCTTGAAGACAGAGGAGCCAGAGTCGAGGGCAGCATATGACGACGCGGGCCGTTTGACATCAGCTGGTGTGAATCTCGAAGTGCTCGGGATGAAGGTCTTGCTCTTGACGTTGGGACGCCTAGCACTAGGGGCTGGTTTGTAGATGTCACTGCTCCATGCCTCGATCTCCTCTGCTCTTTTCATCCGATCCTCGTACGTCTCCGTCGGGAAACCACCGATCCGGGGAGCGAAGAACCAAGCAAACAAACACGCCATGACGAAGCGAATCAGCACGACGCCGATAATGAAGACCAGCGAAACATATAGCAGCACTTGTGAGGCGACACAGCCGATTGAGTTGGTGTCGATGAAGCCGACGGTGATGGTATCTTGCAGACAGTGACCCAGGGACATGCGGTTCTGGCGCATGAGTCCCATCGTAATATCAGTGTGGGTATATGTCGAATTCGCTGCCGCGAGTTCTGCGAAAAATGGTGGAAACGAGACTTGGGCGGGGTCGAGCCACGACAGAAGAGAGAGATCCAGAACATTGCTGGTAATCGATCAGCATCGGATAGAAAATAAAATGCAGGATGCAGCATACCTTTCGAAGACAGCCAGTCTTCGGCCAGAAGCCCTTACATCATCCCAGGTGTAGTAAACCTGCCCTTTCGCCTTCATTCCCGTGGGAGCGCCCTTACTGCTGACATGACAGCTTCCCGAGCTTCCATAGGCGGTCTGGTTCACTTTCGCCCCGCCAGTGACCGTCCCAAACACATTGCAAGGGAAATACCAGTCCATGAACGCCCCAGTGCCCGTGATCTGACTGCCATTGGCTTTGTTGAGGATGTTGACACACGCCTGGTTTGTCTTCTGGAACATGAAACTTGCGTCGTTGCCCGCCAAACCCCAGCCGCCGACGAGGATAGGATTGGTGTGGCCGTCAAACGGACCGGCAGCCGGATGGTGGAAGTTCGTGAGATCGTAGTCCCAGCCGTGTATGACAACGCTCCCGTTTCCCACCCCACCGATACCAATGAGACCACCGTGGAATCGGGCACCCGGAGCACCGCACACAGCCGCAGTGAATCCAAAGGTCACAAATCCGACCACAGCCATCTCGACCGCGATCACTGCGATCAGCCCCATCTTCTCTCGCCAGGCGCGCTGCTGCTCCCGTGTCTTGAGCCCACAGCCTCGCATCAGGGCCGGGGGTATCCAGCACGTCAGGAGGTAACAGAAGAGCATCCACGGCCCTTTAGGACCAGGGGCGTAATCGCCGAAACAGCTCGTCCGCGGCGATTTGGTTTTGGCTGTGGCAGGGTTGAGCGGGGTGGACGCAGATTGCGAGCCCCCGCTTGAGCGACGGCGCAAAAGTGTCCCGGGCCCGCGTTTGAACAGCGCGAGGCCGGACTCGTGCACATCCTGGTCCCGCGCGAGGAGCGAGCGCCCGCGATGCAGCGGCGCGGCGTGAGGGTAGTTGCCCGTCGCTGGTGCGGTAGTCAGCTTCCGTGATCGCCGTGTACGAGGAGCACGAGAGAAGAGGGTTTTACGTAGTAGAGAAAGAGAGAAACTACGCACTGGATGCTTGTACACCAACGGCTCCGCCCTCTCCTGTGACTGCGCTGCGGTAGTGCCACTGCCTGTGCCCCGGGTCGATCTTTTCCCTCTCCGGCCGCACGAGCGACTTTTTGCGTTGTGCTTGCCCACCGAAGCCGCCTTGTGCTGCCCCTCCGGATTCTGCGTCTCCTGCTCCTCCCATCGCATGATGAAATCCACCCGTTGCGAAGCCGACCCTCTGTTGGTGCGGTCCTGGCGACGATGGCGACGGGGATGCGGCAAACGATACGTTGCCGCGCGAGCCATCGTTGGGCAGGAAAGGCCGCTCCTGTTGATATGGAGAGGACGAGGCGGGTGAGCCCGAGGGCGGACGGTGGCGTGGGGGACGGGACATCGTGGTGAGCAAGTCAGGCTCTCAAACTGTGCTTCCGGCCGTTCGTGGTTTCCTGGACGACGACGGAGAAAAAGCTCCTTTCGGCCGCTGGCTCGCTCGAGGCGATGGGAAAAACGAGGAGCGGAGGAAGGGAGGGATGAAGTAGGAAAGCGGAGGCAGAAAGAAGGTAGGGTGATGGAGATGACAATCCTCGATGACGACAATCGTCTAAGTATGGGGGATCGTGTGGTGGTGGTGAAACACGGTGATGCCGTGCCGTGAGCGCTGGCAAGGCTGGGTGTCTCTCGAATGTCCCGGCTATCTAAGGCATTGCATGTTAAGATGCACCAGGAGAACGCAGAAGATCCAAATTCCGAGACTCGAAATGTATATACTTGAACGCAAACTCTGGCTCTCACTCCGACGACGCCTTTGATCCTTGATGTCGCCATCTTCTGCGTGCACTGGCCCGAGTATTCTCCTCCCCTGTCTTTCCTTCCATACTTCTCCTGTGTGCATGGCGCTGCATTCTGGACCTGAGGGAGCCCGTCAATGTCCGAGGACAAGACGCAAAGCAGTGGGGCAGGCTCCGCCGTGACCGTCGGCCACTATGAAAAGTACGTGAGTGCCCGAAGCGCTCTTGAATAACCGAAAGAATATGCAACTGCGCCAGAGCAGGAGCGGTGGAGCACTGATGTACATAGATCCCATATACTTATAGACAAATGTGCCACTGCTCGTGCTCACTTAGTGCTTGTCCGGAGGTCCGACTGGCTTCAAGTCCCGGTGCAAGGAAGCGAGCATTCCCGACTCGAGCATTCTTGGGCAAAAGAGAGACAAAAAGGAAAGCGAGTCCTGGATCGGAAATACTGTCGGCATGAAGTGAGTGAGGGGTGCCTGTGCGCATTAAATGTCGAGACAGCCGAAAAGCCGCTGCGACCCTGCAGGCGAACGAGTCGGAGGACTTCGTCACAGTTAGGGAGACCCAAGCGCTTGATGTATCGGACCACCGGTCAGTGAGGCAAAGGGGTAGAAGAGCAGGCCCGGCGAGGCGTGAAAGCGAGCAGTGCCCGATGTTCCTTTCGCTGATCTGAGCCTCGAGGAGGCAATGTTACTGCAGCATGCATTCCCGTCAAAGTCAAGACAAGGAGCCAGAACGTTGCGTTTGGGGGAGGTCGAGCTGCCAAGCCTCCGCCTAGATGCTCAGCCAAAATCCAAACGGCGTCGCACAGCAGGTCTCAAAGAGGTGCAAACCCCTGCTGCGCAAGGTAGCGGGCGATGAGACAAGCGCAGTCCTCGAAGAGTCAATGATTCCGTAGGATTTTCAGTCTAACATTGGCGCCTCAATGTCTGGGAAGACTTCTCGCCGGTGTTGGCCGTTGGATTGTCTGCGGTGATTGCACGTCTTTTCGGTCGAAATGTGAACCACCTCGGTCGGAATGTTTTCTCTCAATCATGAGCAGAGGATATGCTGCTGAGAGGAAGAAGACAGATTGTGCGTCAAGAGCGAGTGAGGAACAGTTGACTAGTACCAGATTGTGCGTCGGCGACCAAAGAGTCGCTGATCTACCCAGAAGTGCCTAAATGATCAATAGGACAGCCACCTGTCATTCAAGCCCATCTAGCTCCCCCAGTGCTTTCTAGTGACATCCTTCCCCACGAACGACGACATGTCATCCTCGAGCAAAGATCATGACCTGCGCACTAGTTCCGTCTTCTCCGACCCCACTGCAGACATTATCCTCCAATCTACAGAGGGCACCCTCTACCACGTGCACTCCGTCGTCCTGCGCACGACCTCTCACTTCTTTCGCACCCTACTTTCACTTCCGCAGGGGGCCTCCTCATCCTCCGTCCAACTTCGCGACTCGTCCGACCCCCAAATGGAAGTCAAGCCCGAAATCATACCTACGCACGAGGCTGATGGACCGATGGACCGCGTCCTCCGCCTGATGTGCGGGCTGCCCATCCCCCGGTGGACCGCGCTATCCGAGATCCTGGCGACCCTCGACCTCATTGAGAAATGGGATGCCCCCGGCCCACTGTCTGTCATACAGGCGAGCATCGAGGGCCACCCCCTCTTCGCCGCACACCCCCTGAAAGCCTACGTGCTCGCGGCGCGCTTCGGGTGGGACGACGAGATGCCCGGCATCGCACGCCGCACGCTGCAAATCGATCTGCTCTCGGGCGGAAGCGATGCCGCAGGCCAGGCGTACGAGGAGGACCTCTGCCGGCTCAGTTCACGGAGTCTGCTGAGGCTCGTGACGTACCACGACAGGTGCAAGGGGCGCTTCCGCGAGGCCCTCGAGGGGACGGAGCTCTTCGCGTCTGGAAACGACGAGCCGCGGGAATGCAACTGTGGCCGGAACCGGGACAACTACCCCTGGCGGATGCTGAAAGCAAGGGTCAGTCCCTCTTCCCCGTCGTTCACTGAGCTGCGTTTACTCATCGCGCTTCTCAGCTTCTGTCCGAGTTTAATAAACGCCCGTTGGGGGACACGATTCTGTCGGAGATGGTTGGATGGCCTGAGGCCGCGGCCTGCTGGCGGGCCCAGTGCGCTTGTTCGCAGAAGTATTACGACCACAGCTCGACCGTCGCTAACATAAAAGCGTCCATTCGAAACGCTGTTGAGCAAGACTTTGTCGCATAATTAGCGTAAAATCAGCAGCATGCTGAACTAATAGCATATCACCCATACACTTGTCTCACAACGACTGTTCACCGCATGTGCCAGCCACGGCGATGTGACTGGTAGAGCTACCATCCCTGCCGGCCAGGTTGCTCATAAAATACGGCAGCTCAGTCCACCATTTGCGACTCACAGGCAGAAAGCTGCTTTCCACACAGACTACAGTGCTTCCTTGTGCTTCACTGCTCGACGAGATTCGGTCCGGAGAGCGGATCGGATTGACAGTGACAGTAGCAGTGATCGATCCTCGACATCCGATCACCTCTCGATCGGCACGTGGTCGTGGCAGTCACCATCATTTTCTTTTGCTCTCCCCCACCTGAATAAATAATGGGTCGCTTGCGTCGCTCAAGAGCTCACCATGCCCGACGGGATGTGCATCGAGGGGCGAGGACCAGGGTGTGTCACTTGATCTCTGACCTCTTCTCGCCGCTGATGTTGTTTGGATCGCTAGGCACGAGGACGCGATATCGACCAGATTCAGCTGCTAGACCTGGATCCCAAGGTGTGTGATGAGATCAAACTCATGAATTCGGCCCAGCTTAACATTTGCTCTCCTCGCAGCGACGAGCTGAGTTGCAGGCCCAGCCGCTTGACTATGAGCGCCCCGGCCTGGCCCAGCACTACTGTGTCGAATGTGCAAAGTACGCCCCGCATCCATGACTCCGGACGACACCCAACTGACATGCTACGTATTCAGGTACTACGAAACCGACAACGCACTGCAGTCACACTGGAAGAGTAAAATCCACAAGCGGCGATGCAAACAGCTCAGGGAGCCGGTGTACACGATCGAGGAGTCGGAGCGCGCTGCTGGTCTCGGGAGGGAGACGAGGATACCGAGGACGGAGCCGACGATGGAGGTGGAGACCTGAAGGCTGGCTTGCTTTGTGCTCTCGTACTCCCCCTGTTTTGTTTCGTTGATCGTTTCTGTATCCTATCGCTCTCTCCGATCTTGGCTGGTCACCCTGAATACCATGACATCGCTCACGCATGTGCACCATCGCTCAACAGCAACGGGTGGGCCACCGCTGCTGGAGTCTCGAACTTGGACATGATCTCTGCTTCCGTCTGCGATGTGCTAGCTATTGTGGTGGTCTGCTCCGGGGTTTCGGGTGACACGATGAGATGAGGGACACCCAGCCGATTTCCCTCCTTACGAGCGTTGAGGTATGCTATGAGCTGCTCTTGCCTCGGAAGAGCTTGGTCGAGAAGGTTACACCGATCCAAAACTCGACGCGCGCTCCTCAGCTGTTGCCTAGCTTGCGTCCAAACACGCGCCGCACGCGCGAAAAGGCGAGAAGAAGGCTTACTTTGTCCTAGGCGCCGTCAGAGACGTTTCAGAGCTCTGCAAACCTTGCCGAGTTGGCCAGAGGTACCAAGCTTCCGGTCTCATTGCGCATTCATATTGCCACGATATGCTACACAGACATCTACCAAGGCAGGGGGCCGTCCTTATTGAAAAACACGCCGCTTTTCCCCGAGGGTGTAAGGACTTCGTTGACCATGACACCACATCCGACAGACGGATGCGCGCCGAGGGTTGAGAAGTCGGCCATGCTCGTTGCGTTGGGGCCTGACGAATGAACGTTCACGAGTCGCACGCAGATTCAACCACCGGCGGGATGGGAAAACCCACCAGGGCAGATCGCGACGACGCGGATCCCAGAGCCTTTCTCCTCCTCCTCGAATGCCCACTGGAGCGTGAGGTTGTTCAGCGCCGCCTTCGTCGCAGCGTAGACCAGGAGATTCTGGCCCTCGGCGCCAGTGGACGGGGCGGCGGCGTCGTGGCGGACCTGCGCGACTTCCGCGCGCGACATGATGGGCGGGCGGGCGGCGTGGAGGGCCTGCGAGCCGAGCTCGGAGGAGATATTGATGATCTCACCGCTCTTGTTCAGCAGCGGGTAGAAGGCGTTCTTGACCGCGATGATCGATGCGATGTTGACCGTCAGCGCGAAGATGATCGGGCTTCCTGCGCTGGCCGCGCTGGTCCCCGTGGTCAGTGGGTGAGAGGAGGAGCGTCAGACGGCTGGAAACAAACGCACTTGTTGATGAGGAAGTCCAGACCCGGGACGCCCAGCTCTCTGAGCTTCGCCGCGACGGCTTCCTTCGCCTCCGGGATCGATTTCTCGTTGGTCAGATCGATGTAGATAGGGAAGACGGAGGATGTGGGGTGGATGTCTGGCGTCAACTGAGTGATGGCCTCCGCGGCGGCGTTCATCCGGCGGGCGCCCATGAAAACAACCATGTTGGGCGTCCGCGCGAGCTGGTGCACGGTGTGATAGCCCAGACCTAGACAGGTGGGATTCCGCGATGGTTTATAGCTGCACCCGACGGAATGGCATCGAACGCACCTTGGTTGGCACCGGTGATGAATACAGCACGGATGGTGGTGGACATGACGGGTTGGAGATGGGATGGATGTCGAAGTGGACTGGACAGACTGAGGTCCTAATAGCCCGTGCTCGTAACTCATATATGCTCGTCCTCCGCTCTGCGAAGCACCCACTGCCTTGGATTATTCTGTGCACCGCCTGCGCTCGGGATCCTTGTCTGCGATACTGATGACGAGATGAGACCCGTCGGGCGGAGTAATGGGCACAAAGTCCAACGGCCTCCATGATAATGGGTGACATTCGGCGATTATTTTCCGGCGGGAGGGTTCTCGGACCAGTGAAGAGAGGAGAATCTGATCGTCCTGGACCCACTTGACCCCTCTCAAGAGCCGTGTCAACGTGTCCTGTCGGATTCCAGGTTGACCATTGTGGAGTCAAGTCCAGTCAAGTCGCCCGGAGATCAGACCGAGACGTATGTACGAGCTTAGCAATCTCCTTCCCATTACTGATCGCGCACCGTTCCCTCGTCGGCGATGCCATGCGGACGGTCAAGAAAACCACTGGATGCCCGAGGACGTTGCAGAAGCATCAACAGGTGGCCGAAGAATCTGCGCACAGGAGTGAGAGTTCTGCGCGGCATTCCGGATGGCTGACGAATAACTTGACGGGAATGATGGAAGAGGGTTGGAGCAGTTCCAGCTCATCGAGGGATGGAACTAGTCACGTCGCTGACACCAGAGTTTGTGTGCAGCTACTTGAGAGGATCATCTAGATCTTGCCGAGGAGGTACTTGACCAGAATAAACCAGGTGCCTAAGAAGAACGTCCATAGTGGAGCCACTCTTTCTGCAGAGAGGATTATGACTGGGCGACGCGCATGCTCATGTATTCTAACGGGCCCAGCAGCAGCAGACCGCACGCAGGACGACGTGAATAACCCGCCAGCATCAGCACTTGCTCCACGCGCACGATCCCAAGATTCAGGATCTCGAGCCGAGATGTGGCATGTCGGGAAGAGCGAGACAGTTCAGGTGCAAGCGAGATCGCTCAGCCGCAGGGGTTTTGCGATTGCGAGAGTCGCCAGGACATTCCAGCGAGGGGAAATTCGAGCCAGGCACGCGCGTGGGTGGATGCGTCGGTAAACACCTCCCCCAACCCCGCGGGAGAACTAGATCGTCGAAAACTAGCAGCCCCAGCGACAAGCGTCCATTGCACCCCGTTTCCCAGAATATCGCCCGCAAGTCCCGGATACACCAGTCTGGGACGACTAGCGCGCAGCACACCACACAGCGCCGGCGAATCTCGATGGCAAGGCCGGGGAACAAACGGAGGCATGACCACAGCATACAGATATGGGTCTGCAGCCAGCGCGATATCGCGTGATCTGCGGCGCATGCGCGCGGAAAGCCGATTCACGACGTGGCTTGTGAGTTATGCTTAGACTCCCACTGTACAGCCGAATACCACAGCGATGGTCTCCAATGGGACGCGACAGATCGAATACTGTGACGATTGGGGTTTCTCAGAAGGTCATTGCGTTAGGTTTCAAGTGTTTTGAGCTCCTTGCGAAGGGGCCGTCGATGCGTGCTGAGAGGGTGGCATCAACTTGAGGTGATCCAGGTCACTGGCGTGACTATCAAAGCAGGCGATTTCATTGACCCTAGCAGGGGCTAGAAGGCACTTAGTTCGAAGGCTCACAAGAAGACCAAAGTAGAGGCACATTACCAAAAAAGTGAGCCGTCTTTCCTGAAAACACGCCGCTTTTTCCCGACGGTGTCAAGACCTCTAGCCATTTCCTTGCATCCCTCAGACGGATGCATCCTCGCCTGCACGGAGTGCGCCATGCTTCTCTCTTGCGTCTACACACGCACCGCTCTGGAACGCGAGACTTTGGCGCCAGGTGGTGAACCCCGAGTGCGCCCTCGTCCGGATTCAGCCGTCATAAACGATTCAGAGACCTGCCTGTGCGTCGTGCCGCGCTGATCTCACGGACAAAGATTATCAGATCGGATTGTGCGCGCCGATTGATTAGATATTGTACAACACTGTCACCAAGGAATCAGGCCGTCCTTATTGAAGAACACGCCGCTTTTCCCCGAGGGCGTCAAGACCTCGTTGACCATGACACCGCATCCAACAGACGGATGCATCCCGAAGCTCGAGAAGTGCGCTATGCTCGTCGAGTTCGGACCTGACAAAGCGATAATCACTATCAACACGCGGACTCGAGCGCCGGCGGGATGGGAAAACGCACCAGGGCAGATCGCCACGACGCGGATGCCGGAGCCCTTCTCCTCCTCCTCGAATGCCCACTGGAGCGTGAGGTTGTTCAGCGCCGCCTTGCTCGCAGCGTAGACCATGAGATCGTGGCCCTCGAAGCTGATGGGCGGGCGAGCGGCGTGGCGCGCCTGCGAACCGAGCTCAGAGGAGATATTGATGATCTCGCCGCCCTTGTTCAGCAGCGGGTAGAAGGCGTTCTTGATCGCGATGGTCGACGCGATGTTGACCGTCAGCGCGAGGACGACCGGGCTTCCACCATTGGCCGCGCTGGTTCCCGGGGTTCAGTACGCCGAAGGAGGCACGAAAACGCTGGGCGCACTTGTTGATGAGGAAGTCCAGACCTGGGACACCCAGCTCCTTCAGCTTCGCGGCGACGGCATCCTTCGCATCGGCGATGGTTTTCTCGTCGGCGAGATCGATGTACACGGGAAACACGCGGGAGGTGGGGTGGACGTCGGGTGTGATTTGGACGATGGCTTCCGCTGCGGCGGTCATTCGGCGGGCGCCCATGAAGAGAACCATGTTCGGCGTCTGCGCGAGCTGGTGCACGGTGTGGTAGCCCAGGCCTAGACAGGTGGGATTCCGGGATGGTCTATAGCTGCACACGACGGAATGGCATCGAACGCACCTTGGTTGGCACCGGTGATGAACACAGAGCGGGTGGTGGTCGACATAGCGGGTTGGAGATGGGCTGGATGTCGAGGTTGACTGGTGAGACTCAGTCCGCATCTGTTCTCACCCTAATATACGCCCGTCTTACCCTGCGAAGCACCCACTGCGTCTGAGTGCTTCGTGCGCCGTCTGCGCTCGGGATTCTTCTTGTCTGCGACGGTGATGACGAGACGGAACCCGTCGGGCGGAGTAACGGGGGCAGAGTGCAGCGATCCCCATGATCATAGCTGACACTCGTCGGTTCCTTTCCGACGGCAAATGCTTCTTGGACCGGTTGGAGGGGGAAGAAATCGATTGTTCTGTGCCCACTTGACTACAGTTAGGCCTTCTAAACGTATCGCGTCAGACTCCAGGTAGTCAATTGTGAAAACAAGTCCGGCCAAGCCGCCAGGCGATGAGACCGAGACGCACTTACTCAGCCTCCAGTCAGCCGCCAAGACCATCTCTCTCCCATTACAGATCATGTACCGTTCTCACATCGGCAAATACCACGCTGACAGCCCTGAGAACTGCTGCATCGCCGAGGACATTGCAGAATCCTCGTGAAGACGGCAAGAGACTTGTGCCCCAAAGCGACAGTTCTTTGCGGCTCTCTGGAGCGCTGACGAGTGGTTGACGGGATTGAATGACAGATGGGCAGCACAGCTCTAGCCTGTCGCGGCACGGAGATAGCCATGTGACACCAAGTGTGGGCCATATCTTCTTGAGAAACTGCATGGGCTTCCTTCTCTGAGTATGACAAGCGGGAGAGCTAAGGAGGCGGTTGACCGGAGGAAGGCTCAGCGCCTCGACGAAGTCGAAACCGTGGGCCCCGACTTCCTGCACTGCAGAGAGCGATACCGACCAGGCGAGAACGATGTGTTCCAGGGGGGGCGAAGCGTCAAGTGTGCTGAGCTGAAGACCTCAGGCAAGAGAACAAGCGCTCCTTGTCGACATGTTCTGTCCAGATCTTGGACGTTGAGTGGCGAGCCTCGCGGAGCTTCCACCGCACGCCGTCACCCGGGGTTCCGCGAGAAAGTTCCGACAAGCAAGCCCGAGACTACGTTTCAGCACAAGACACGAGCACAGTGCCGTCGAACCTTGGACGACCCCCGAGTGCCGCAGCTTCGTTCAATGTTCTTGGCGTTCGCCGACCTTGACAACGGAACACAGCTCCACGAACGCGAAGTAGCCGGCGTGGTATCGCGTGAACTAGGGCACATGAGCGCACGCACGAAAGGCAGATCGGCAAGTTCCCTCGTGCAGTAAGTATGCTGCCGAATACCCTGGCATCGGCCTCCAAGTAGACAGGACAGATCAAAGGCCGTGACGATTCGGGCGCACGCAGGAGCTCGTTGCGTTCGGTCACGAGTGTCCTTGCGGAGGTCGTCGATGCGTGCTTAGAAGGTGACATCCAAATGAGGTGATAGAAGGTCACGCACAAGTGACAGACTATGATCTCCTACCACGAACCATCACCATCCCTGATTCACCAACCCCTCGAAAAAACGTCCTACGCCCTTTTCTCTACAGAATCGGCCCGTACACGAGAGGAGAATCATACACACTCGTACCTGACAAACAATTGAGTGAAAAAAAATGCGGTTTTCCGCGCGGCGGAACGTCGGATAAACGTGAAATTTTCGACAACTCTTTCCCCACTCGCACCTGAGCCTCCTTCCTCTCTGCTGTGTCGAGCTGAGACCGACGTATCACACTACACGTGTCCGGTGTCCAGCGCCTCGTGGTTGCCCCCAAAGCCCAAAATCCTGTGACGCCCTGCACCTCGTGCCCGCACATGAAGCCCCGAAACCTGCAGTGGGCGAGGACACGAGGACCACTACCGCGACCATGGCATCAGCTGGCCCTGGGCCAACACGACCGCCTCCACCACCGCGGCTGTGACTCCCGTCACTGTTGCACCTGGCCCGACGACGACGCTACTTAGAAGGCTGCACTCATGCGCCAAAACTCGGCCTCCGACGCGACGTCTGGGATTACACCTGTCACCTCCACGTCCCCTCTGGCCCCTCCTGCATCTCCACTCAAAACAATGAATTTGAAACTCGAGTCCACTGCGGCAGGCATCCATCGCCTCTATGGCTATGCGTGTCGAGGAAGCTATCTTCACATTTACCTCAGACCTTGACACGCTACGTGAGAACATCGGCGTCCTCCGCACCTCTATGTGCGATACTCGCTCAGCCCTTGAGGTCTCCTGAACCCTCCAGGCTGTAACTGTCTGTGATGAGCTCATTGGCCAATTACGACATCGTGGACTCGATCCAGGGCTGGAACTCTCGTGTCACCAGCATCAAGACTGGCCACGCATCCATCCTTGCTACCCTTGCCAGTCTCAAGACTGTGCCGGAAGCCGCTCTTGAGCAAGGAGTGGAACAGTCTGTCCCCTCAGACTGTTATCACGCCGACCTCACCGATGGCATTCCCCATATCAAACGGCAAGCGGACCTCGTCCTCCACCCTCACCTGTGAGCGTGACCACCTCACTCACCGAGTCACCTCCATCATCGATCATGATCCACACTGCCTCTCAACACCCCCAGGCCAACCAGCGGTCACTCTCCCTGGGGAGCGGGTATCAAGTGGTTCTTGTTATACCTACGAGCACACTGTATTTCTACTCTGTGACGACAGATAGTCATACAACGTGCTGCTACTTTGTGACAACAAGGCAGCGCACACCAACTGCCCCCTTCTTGCTTACTCCTTGATAGACGTTCGGAGTTATGTGCTGAAAAGCTCGTCGGATAAGCAGCTGGGGGTCCAAGACGAAGGCGCGTATTTAGCTTGTACCTAGCGCTAGGATAATCTTGGGAACACGGTGTTCAGTGATTGGACCATGCCGTGTATAATACTATCACTATCACCAGAGCAGGCAAATCTCACTGGCTCCGGAAATCAAATATTAGTTCATGTAGAAAAAAAAATTGAAACTTCAAAACTAAGCAGCTTCATTTTCTGTGCCTTGAGCAGTGAGACGATTCTCGGGACTGAGAAACGGTGCAGGATGTCAAACGTATTCTCTCTTGGCCAGTGACTCCTTGATCACCTGTGACGCTGTCATGATCAAATTCAAGACTGGATCCTGCAGGATCCCCCCATTTGAGGGAATGAACCCAATGACCTGGGCAGCTTGAAAAGCAGACAGCCCGACTCGAAGGCGACCATTATCTCACGTAATTTTGGCCTCCCTGTCGCACTCCAAAGCTGAGCTGAGCTGCGTAGAGCAAACACGCTGTTCCTGCGGTGTTTTCACCATCCATGACGAAAACAGCAGCTTCACGTCCAGGGCATGCAGTGTTTTAGCAGATATCGTATGAATTCGAGGTCGCTCACAGGCTCGCCCCTCTCACAAACTACTCGAGTGAAGTGATGCACCCTACCAAGGCAGCGGGCCGTCCTTATTGAAAAACACGCCGCTTTTGCCCGAGGGCGTCAGAACCTCTTTCACCATCACCTTGCATCCCTCAGACGGATGCATTCCGGCCTCCACGAAGTGCGCCATGCTTGTTGCATTGAGGCCTGGGAGAACACTTTCAGCCCCTCGCCCAACCCCATGCTTGGCGCTTGCAGGAGGACGCACCAGGACAAATCGACACAACGCGGATGCCGGTCCCCTTCTCCTCCTCCTCGAACGCCCACTGCAGCGTGAGGTTGTTCAGCGCGGCCTTGCTCGCGCTGTACGTCTTGAGCCCCGCCGGGCGGATCGGCGGGCGGTCGGCGTGGCGCGTCTGGGAGCCGAGCTCGGAGGAGATGTTGATGATCTCGCCGCCCTTGTTGAGCAGCGGGTAGAAGGCGTTCTTGACTGCGATCGTCGCCGCGATGTTGATCGTCAGCACGAGGATATCGGGGCCTTCCGAGTTCGCTGCGCTGTGGTCCCGCGGGAGTCAGGTCGTTGCGTCAACGCGATGGTGCACGGCGCACTTGTTGATTAGGAAATCCAGGCCCGGGACCCCGAGCTCCTTCAGCTTCGCGGCGACGCTTTCCTTCGCCGCCGTGATCGACTCCTCGTTCGCGAGATCGATGTAGACGGGGAACACACGGGAGGTGGGGTGGATGTCCGGCGTCAACTGAGTGATGGCTTCCGCTGCGGCGGTCATTCGGCGGGCGCCCATGAAGAGGACCTTGTTCGGCGTCTGCGCGAGCTGGTGCACGGTGTGATAGCCCAGACCTGGACCGGTGGGATTCCGGAATGGTCTATAGCTGCACGCGACAGAATGGCATCGAACGCACCTTGGTTGGCCCCACTGACGAATACAGCGCGGACGGTGGTGGACATAGCGGGCTGGGAATGAGCTGGATGGAAAGGAAGAATGGCAGGACCGAGACCGTGTCTGTGCTCGTCCTGTTATACGCTCCCCCGGCCCTGCGAAGCACCCACTCCGTCAAATTGCTTCGCGCGTCGCCTGCTCTCGGTACGCTCGTCTGCGATGTTTATGACGAGACGGGACCCGTCGGGCGGAGTAATGGAACCTCAACATGACGAGTCCCATGACTATGGCTTGACACGCGCCGGCTCCTTTCCGTCGGAGGAGGCTTCTTCGCACAGTGAAGGGAGAAGAGTGGAAGCACTCGATCGCTCCCGATCTTATGACCAAGTCTGACTTCCAACGTATCCCATCGAATCCGTGGCTTGGAGGCAGTTGATACTGTATTCACATACAGTGCAAGTAGTACACATATAACTATTGGTAAACCCATCTACATCAAAATAATACACGAAATAACACGCTCATCCCGGCGGTGGCGTCCACGCATAGGCATACCCCGGCCCACCGGCGTTCCCGGCGAGAAACACAGGGCTGCCGCCGGGCGGAACATGCATATGCTGCACGAGCATCGGCGTCAACACCGGCGTTCCTCCGCCGTGGCCGGCCTGAGCACCCGCCGCAACAGCACCCGACCCCGACCCCGCGCCCGACCCCGGCCGGGGCTCGTCATGAAGTGGCGGGGGCGGCGGGGAGCCGGTCTGTGTCGGGGGCGGCGTCGCCTGGATCACGTAGAGCGGGGTGGGCGAGACGGGCATCCACGCCGGGGGGAAGGGATGGCCGGACTGAGGATTGGCGGGGCCGAGGTGGGGATGCGACCTCGGCCTGCGGCGTTTCGATCCGCGCGGCTTGGACTTGCCTGCGCCCGGCGACGCTGCGCGCCGCCTGCCGGGACTGGGCGGTGTGATTGGCGGCGTAGGCGGGTAAGCCGGCATGTATGCCATGGGGTAGTACGGATACGGATACGGATTCGGGGGATAGTAGGGCGCTTGTTGTGGTGAGTGTGAATGCGAAGAAATGGGGGAGCCGGTCGTCCGCTCGTTTTCGTCGTCGTCCTGAGTACCGTGCTCCCTGAGAGTTCTCTCCCTCCTCTCTCTGGCGCGGGCCCTCCGCTCTCTCCTGAGAGCCTTCTCTTCCGCCTCCTGTTTCTCTCTCTCTTCGCGCTCCTCGACTGGTCGATACCACGAATTCTCCGGGACGGACTTCGGCTTGAGCTTCTTGGGCTTCCAATCCACCGTGATCCGCTCTTCCTCGCCAACGACCCAGGGCATGGCGTGCAGCTTACCAAAGAAGCGAATCCAGGCATTCCCGCCTTGGCGTTGCCGCTGCTCCCGGAGCTCTGCGGAGAACGACGGCGTGTCGGAGCTGAAGTCCTGCGACGACCTCTCGCCATACGCAGCTGAATCCACGGTCGTGCCGCTCTGAGGATGCGAAATATGCGTCGACATGCGTCGGTAATCCTCCGTCGGCCGCGGGCGTGCGTTGATCGACACCGGCTCGTCGTCCGCTTGCGGCGGGAGAGCAGCAGCAGCAGCAGCGTCGAGGGGAAGGCGTGTGACCACAGACGCCGACGGCGCACGGCTCAACACGATCGACGGGACATGCGCCGGGAGCGTGTCCGGGTGTGTGTTCGTGCGCGTTGTTGGGGGGTGCGATCGCTCGCGGTGATACGCGTGGTCGTCGGCCGTGCTGGGCATCGGATCGGGCGCCAGCTCCAGTCCACCAGGCATCGCGGCGGGCGTCCCTGCCTCGAGCGCATCCAGATCATGCACGACCTGCGCCTGCTCGCCCAGCGCGTCGCCCTCCGGCGGCACGACGCGGAAGCTCGGGAACTGCGCACGGGGCGACTCGCGCATACGCGCGTCTTCGCTGTTCCGGCTCCTGTGCTGCGAATTGTTGAAGGCGGGCGGGACGATCGGTGTCGGCGGATTCGAGGCGTACTGCGGGAGCGTCGCGGCGGTGGTGGTCTCCGTGCCGATCGTCCCCCGCCGCGCCCGATTCCGGACGAACGTCCTGGGGAGTCGGCGCAGCCCGGACACGAATCCACCGACGAAGCTGGTCGTCCCGGCGCCCTTCTCAGGAGCTTGTGCCTTCTGCTCGGCCCGGTCCTTGTTATTGCGGCTCTTCTTCTCTCGCTCCCTCGCTCGCTCCATCTCCTTCTGCGCTTTCGCATTGATGCCCGGACCCACCTCCGGGCCATAGCCGAACCCGTACCCCGCCTGCGCAGCCTCCGGAAGCTTGACCCACATGTGCTCGCCCTCGATCTCGTCGTCGACCGTCAATCGCTGTGCTGCACCGGAATATGTCCGGAGAGGCGGTGTGGGGAGCGGGCGACTGCCTTGACTCACAGGACGTGGGCGGGGTCCTACAGCCTCGGGATCCCCAGTCTGTTGTTGTAGTTGCTGCTGCTGCTGCTGCTGCTGGGTGAGCACCCATGAACGGGTACTATCGTGCGACGCGTGGCTGATTCGGCGGACATCGTGAACCACCAGCTTCGATGTCTGGGGCGGGGGCTGCGGGGAACCCGAGGAATCGTCGGGCATATTGAGATGGAGCAGCAGCAAGTATGTATGGGCAGCGTAGACGAGGCAAGTGGGCTATGTAAGCTCACTGCACCTCATTGGCAGGGTGGGTAGGGCGAGGTGACGTCGTGGGCCGCTTGTATGACAGTATGAGAGTCTATGAACGAATTAGTTCCATGGGGGAGTGAAATGAAGCAAATGCACTACGCAAAATCGATACTGATGGACCGTATATCTCCCTCTCCGTTCAAACCTCAAAGGCGCCCAAGACCCACGATCTCCGGTACTTATCTGAACAATGGCTGACATATCCTCCTGGAATCGAGTCAGTCAAATCTCGATCACAATGGAAGATGGAGTGCGTACACCGCGAGGCACATCTGATCCATGGCTGGGGGCAGTGGTGCATCGAGGATCGCGCGGACACGCGTGAAGAGCAGAGGAGCGGCGAATTAACTACGTCCTACGAAGGTTGTGGAAGAACCAAGGAACCGTCCGGTATGAAGTCAACGTTGAGTAGAGATAGAGTTTAGACTCGGAGTCGGTCCGGTAACGATGTGTGGGTACTCCGGGCACAAACCTTGACGTTGAGCACGTGCTGCAGATCACGGACATGCGGGATACCGAGAGAGCGATCGAACTCCTTCAAGTAGTGATTGAAGAGTTGAGAGATCTATGCAAGCATTCTAAATGAATGGCATGTTTGCTATTGTGTCTAATGACGGCTCCCTAGTTTGTATATTTTACGTGGGGACCAGCGTTCACTGCCCCGTGGCCCAGCTGGTTAAGGCGTCTGACTGTTAACAGTCGGTATCAGAAGATCGAGAGTTCGAGTCTCTCCGGGGCAGATTTTTGCTCTTTGTTATCCTCCACAGGCTACTTTGGCACGCCACTTTTTTCACCCCCAGCTGAAAAAGAACAGGCGTGCTCGTCACATGGCACTTAATACGGGTACAGTAACATAGGACAGCGCGAACGAAATACAAACTCATATACATATAAAGAAAGACAAAAAGCTTAGGGTTTGACTTGGACCTTCTTGGCGGTACCTATCGTCGTGTTGTTGACCTGACTGCAGTCAGAACCTGTACGACCCGTACAATGCCGGACGCACCTTGGTAGCAAAGCGCAGCGACGTCAGTGACTCGTTCAGATGTGCTGATAACGGCGAAAGGTTGAGCACCATCTGCGGAGCAGGTCAGAAACCAGAATAGCGGAGTTCCAAAGAGCATCAATACCAGCGTCTTCGAGTTTCCACTCAGTGAGTTTTGCAGCAAGTACGTCAGCTTCGAATTGCGATACGGAACATGCGATCCCGGCCCGTTGCCGAGAGCAGCAATGACATCCCCTAATGCACTGAGACTCTTATTGATGCTCTGCGTCTCCTTCAACCGCTCGGACCCAGCGACAGAGTGCCCGAGTCCGAGCGACGCCAGTCGCTCACTGCCGGCGAGATCGACGAGGTTGAGCGTGCCGAGACGCTCCGCCTCCCCGTTGTCGTGCACGCCCCGGATCCGCAGTGTGAAGACCGAATGCGAGCGGGACGACCGCTCGTTCATTAGCGTCGCCGCGACCCGCCGCCGGCTCTGGGCCTGTGAGAGTAACGCCATAACCTGGGTCGGCGAGGTGAGCGTCGCAGTTTGGGTGTCCGACACAGATGTCAAATGCGTGACAGGATGGTGGTGGATCTCGTGCTTCCGCGGTGCCTCGCCCGGAGCTGGAGCGGCCGACAGCAGGTCCGTGATCGTTTCGTTGTACTACGCAAGGTGTGAGCAAAGAGCCTGAGCGTTGAAGGGAGAGATACCCACAATCTCTAAGAACTGGCCTTCCATGCTATAGGTCCATCCTTTGTCTTTCAAATCGTCGGCCACCCGGAAGACCTGAGCTACAGCCCGGGGAATCATCCCTCGATCTTCATCGTTCTGCAGCAATGGTTAGCCAGTGTGCACTGCCCAGAAGCTGTGCCGCTCACCCCACCACCCTCCATAGTCCAGCTCTTCCCGCTTCCGGTTTGACCGTAAGCAAAGATGCACACATTATATCCATCGATACAACTCTGTGCAAGCTGAGAGATCTCCGCAAACAGATCCGCTTGCGTCGATGAAGGTGTGAAAACCTGCGAGAGGGATCAATCTTGCTGTAAATCGGGTGACAGGAAGAGCACGAACACGATCGAATCCAAAAGACCAAACTTCTTTGCGTGGTTTGTTACCCATGCCGGCATCCCACTCTCGCTCAACTCCAGCTGAACTGAGCACAATCTCCTTCTGCCCTGATGGGTATGATTGCTCAGCGTCCGGATACGCGATCTGAGCAGCAACTGCATCATCTTCCCCTTCGATCTCGGACGGCAGAACCGGCCGAACACGACAAAACACGCGAATGTTGCCCTTGAGCTCCATGACCATCCCATGCAACTTGCGGCGCTCCTCTTCGCCTTTCACCGCTTCCTCCCGCATCTCAGCACGCTCTGCTTCCCAAGCTTCTCGTTCGGCAATCCACTGCGTCTGTTTCTCCTCCCAAGCCTTGATCTCATCCTGCATAGTTTCCACGCGTCCGGTCATAGCACGATATCGTTCCTGCAGGCCCACTTCCGCGTCGACAGCACCAGCCAGTTCGGCGCGGAGTTTCGTCAGTCGAGCATCGCGTTCTTCAAGTTCGTCCTTGGCTTCACGTAGCAATCGCTCTCCGCGTCGCACACGAATCTCATTCTCTTCCCGTTCCCTTGCCATCGCCCGTCGCAGCTCGCCTGTCTCGTCCTGCGCAGCCGCGATCGCCGTTTTGCCCGACAGGACTTCGGCTTTGAGCGCCAACACCTCTTTCCGCATCTCCGCCTCCGAATCGTCGCGCGCCTTGAGCGCACTCTTCGCTACGTTGAGCTCGGCCTGGAACGTCACCGCCTGCGTCTGGGCAGCCATCAGCTGAGTCTGCGCCGCATTCAGCTGCACGCTCGTGCTCGCCAACTGCGCCTGTGCGGTAATGAGCTCCGTCTGCAGCTCCGTCGACGCAGCAGACGCATTGCCGCCGCTGCCCCCAGCGAGCAGCGCCTTGCTCTCGATCAGCTCTGCGATGCGCTCGACGTCCAGCGTCCGCGCCGACTCCAGCGAGGCGAGGCGCTTGTTCATGTGCGTGATGACGTCCGGCGCAGCGACTGACGCAGACGCGCTGCGTTTCATGGTGGCATTGGTGGATGTCGACGGGCCGGATGTGGTCGCGAGGCGAGAGGGGAGCCCTGACCCGATCCCTGAAACCGGCTTGCGCGTCGCGCCGGCGGCGGCGGGTGCACTAGCCCCTCGCGCAGCCGTGGGTCGTGCTGCAGCGGGCGGGCGGGGACGCGTCAGTGGGCGTGGCATGGACACAGCGGTCGCCTTGGATGGGGGTTTACTAGAGGTGGATGTGGCTGCGTTGGGTGCGGTGCGGGAAGCCTGTAGTGGCTTTGGTCGGAAGCCGGTCCCGGTCGCCTTTTTCGCAGCGGGCTGGTCTTCGATCGTATCGTCCTCCTCGGTGGCAGCGGCTTTGCGCTTGAGCGAGGGCGCGAATCCCTTATGATCGGGCGAGGACTGAGGTCGTGGAAGGCGGGACATGCTTGATTACTATGAACAGCGAGAGTGTAAGCTTGATAGCGGTTCTTGGCTTGTATTTAGAAGCGATATGGAATGGAAGACGTACTTGAGTGATACGGCACCGTAGCCCACTCACTCGGCGAAAGCCTTCTGTGGTAGATGCGTGACCGTTTGCGATCGAAAAGCGCGAGTGGATTACAAGTCGGTGTTGGATTTGAGTGTGCGCGTGGCGATAGCCTTGACTACTGGACAGGGAGCTTTGAGAATGTGGACGAAACCAGGTGAAAAGTCGCTTCTCACCTCGATGAGTGACGGGACGGACAGAGAAAGCCACGAAATCGTTTTCGTAAAGGCCAAGATACCTGCTTGAAGGTGGTGTCTTGGATTCGAGCAGCCCGAGCCAACGGGACGAGAGGCGGTCGAGGAGCGAAAGCAACTTGGCGGTCACGGTCACGAGACGTTCACGTGATCCTGCGTCAACAGAAGACCTTCACAGCCCCCTGGATATTTGAGTTTGATCTTGATCTCAATTCCCTGTCCTGTCACTTGCTCAATCCCAGCCGTGTCTGCAACATGTTCTTGGTATTTCGGACTTGTGAGCCGAAACCCATGTGTGACCTGTTGGCACGCTCACACGCGCAAAAATCCGTCTTCAGCCTCGGACTACATGTTCCAGCGCGTGCCTGAGCACAGCCAGTAAATGAGTGAGCGGAGAGACATCAGCAGTTGCAGGGCGAATCAGTCGATATTTATTCGACTGGGATCCATCCCGTGTGAGCCTCTACTTGTTCAAACAATTGCTCACTGACAGGTGGATGGAAACGATCCAAACCGATGATAGCATACTTCGCGAAGCAGCAATCACCGCATCCTCGGAGTATGATATTTCCCCCGGAAAAAATACTACAAGAGGAGGGCCACACCCTCTTTGTCTCAACCACAGCTTGTTGACTCCCCACAATGCTTTACTCCACCTCCAGTCTCGTCAAGTCCTGTGTCGCTCTGCTTTGGCTTGCAGGCGCCGTCGTTGCTGCCACCGTGAGCCCCCTGGGTCTTCGAGATGAACTAACTGTGCTGAAGAAGTGTTCAGCCTGGCCCCGTCCAGGCGGCGTCGCGGTCGCATGATCCTGTCCACTGGTCAATCACACCGCACACCGTGAAGCTTGTCCAAGTCACGACCCCGGTCGACTACGACACGGTCTCAACGCGACTATACTCGATGATCGGAACGGTCAACGGCAACGCGACCCTTTCCACAGCATCTTCGCTGACGGTGCTGGAAGAGAGAGTCGCTGCATCCGTCGGCTCGAGTGATTTGATGTCAGTCATGTCCAACGCCGGACAGTAAATGCTCCCTCCCAGCTCACGAGACTGCAGCCACTTCGCGGAATATAACCACGGTGGTTGGTTCCAGCTGTTCAACGCGAACCCGACACCCCGCTTCAAGCTCTTCGTCATTGGCAACCCCCTCATCGCCGACACCATCGTCAAGTACGACATCCGCGCGTCGTACGGCGTCCCCGTCCGGGTTCTGGTCATGGAGAACGGGAATGGGACGAAGATATTCTATCAGCTTCCCTCCTCGGTGGCCAACATGATCGGGTCAGAGCCGCTGCAGACGGCCGCAGAGGGCCTGGACCAGACGTTTGCAGCGTTGGTTACTAACATAACCGTTGCTGCGTAGACAGACTCGTTTCCAATCATGAAATAGCCGATTCGGGGTGCGAGAAAGCGTCCCAGGTTCATCTGGGTCGTGAGGAGGAACATCGCCGCGGAATTGAACGTTGAACTCCCATGACGGCACATGAGACTGATGCCGTCAACGAAGCACACCTTCACATAAATACTCCGCTTCCGCCTATTCTTAGCCACAGCCTTCCTCTTTTTGAAGCCCCCGCGTTTCGTGCCCTTCGGTGGAGGCTGATGGGGTGGATGCGCTACCATGGTGCAAGTCACCTATTCTTGCTGGTTGTGAACAGGGAATACAAGACAACGACCCGAGTGGACCCAGACTACTGACAATTTCGTTGGCCAAGCAAAGAAGTGTGCGTGGACATTGATCAAATTCATAGCACCTAAGATATATCCGAAAAATCAAAGCCGCTCAGCAGTGCATGAATCACTCGTCTACAGGCCCCGTCCCTGGCTTCACCCAGCGCACTGATCGCTCACCGCATAACGACGTGCTGTTGTTCAAAAGTCCAGCCCAGTTCTCAGGCCAGCTGGCACTACACACTTCTATCAGAATCCTACACTTCTGACGGTGTCTCGCCTGTGAACGCGAATGGGTGGCTCTCCTGGAAACCTAGTTTCCACCAGTCTGGGCGAGAGCATTGTCTTGTTATCGCGGAAGCTCTCGGCCGAGACCTTGCGCCACCTGTTCACACTCACACACGTTCAGACAGGCGAGAGGGGTACTGATCGTCATTCGGCGGACCGGAGCATGCTACGACGAGCCAGCGGACGCGAAGAACTTGACGAAACAACGCTACTTGACATTCTTGTCCGCCATTCTGCCCACTCTAAGTCCTTCTGTTGTGTGGCAAGTTGTCGGCTGACAGGCCTGTTGATAAGGATTCGCCTCAGCATCGTGGGATCTACCTACGTAGCTCTCGAATCACCGCCGGAATATGTTATCACCGCTGGAGCATACAAGGAGACCCTCGAGCGCCTTCTCTTGAATTTCAGCGTCCCCTTCCCACAGCATACCACCATGCTCAGTGCGATCTTCGGGCCCCTTGCTCTGCTCTGGCTGACGGGCGCCGTCTCGGCCTTCACCGTGCGCCATCTTCAATCCTCCTTTTCTGCACTGACCATTAGCTTTTTTTCAGCCGGAGAACTCACAAGCTTCGTCGCGGTCGCACGATCCGGTGCACTGGTCGATCACTCCACACACCGTGAAGCTGGTTCAAGTCACCACCCCGGTCGACTACGACACCGTGTCAGCGCGGCTGTACTCGATCGTCGGGACGCTCGACGGCGACATCACGTTCACCACCGCACCGTCCCTCGCCGTGCTGCAGGAGAGAGTCGCCGCGGCGGTCGGCTCGAGCGGTCTGATGTGAGTCGAGCCAGCGTCGCTGACCCGGGTGTTTCCCGCAGCTGACGATCGCAGCCACTTTGCGGAATACAACCACGGCGGGTGGTTCCAGCTGTTCAACGCGGACCCGACGCCCCGCTTCAAGCTTTTCGTCATCGGCAACCCGCTCGTCGCAGAGACCATCGTCAAGTTCGACCACCGCGTCTCGTACACCGTGCCCGTCCGAATCTTGGTCATGGAGAACGGAAACGGGACCAAAATTTTCTACCAGCTGCCGTCTTCGGCGGCGAATATGATTGGGTCAGAGGAGCTGCAGACGGCCGCGGAGGTTCTGGACCGAAAGTTTGCGGCGGTGGTCACTAACATCACCACTGTTGGGTAAAACGGCAACGCCTTAGTACGATATGCATGAGGGCAGAAACATCTGAATGAGATTGGCCGAGGGCACGAAAAGGGTATTATTGGAGTGACAGCATGACTGAGGATCAGGAACATAAAGATGGTGTGGGAAAAGAGGTGGGTTGGACCAAAAACTGCTCCGGAGAGACTCGAACTCTCGATCTTCTGATAGAAGGCATTTAACAGTCAGACGCCTTAACCAGCTGGGCCACGGAGCACGTGCCGCTGCCTCCACTTTAAGCAATATCATCCCACAAATGTTGCAGCGGTTGTCAAAGGTGGGATACCCTGTCGACATTGGGCCCTTATGTGGCTACCTCGGCCTCCTTGGCAGTCAGCAGCGGATCATCCTCCAATGCACCCACCCCCATCCAAGGCATCACAGCGCAGGAGGCCAGGGTTCTCCCGGGGCCTCGTGATCAGACAGTTCCGGGTATCTTTTCTCACGACTGGTGGTTCACGACTGTTAATCTTTGGTGCGGTTGCAATCAGGAGGGCAGAGTCGGACGACGGAGACGAGGTGGCAGAGAGAATGGTACTGTGTGCCACCTGACCCGGGGCCGAAACATCCTTTCGCGTGGACTGACGGCACAGCCAAACAACGGGCTCATGAGCATGGGAACCTACAGCAAGCTCTCCCTACGCTTCAAATCCTCATGGATACTGTCCCGTCAATGACTGTATCTCATCCAGAACATGTCGCCAGGTGTCAGACGCGTGTATCACAACATCTCATCTACATCTTCAAGTCACCAGCGTCAGCCCACGTTAGATGCAGGCGGCCGAGCTGTGAAACAGCGACGAAAGTGAAATGCTCGAGGGAATTGGATGCATTGGACGAATCTACTGAGGCACAGGCAGCTCTACATCCTCGTCAGAGTCCAATTCCAGCCCGACCGTCAAGCGCGACACCAGGGCATACGAGCCGGCCGTGATGGTTATCTCCATGATTTGGGACGTATTGAAGTGCGACTTGACGGCATTGTAGACCTTGTCCGGGATGCGCACGTTGTCCGCCATCCAGTCCGAGAACGCCATGCTCGCCAACTGCGCGTCCGAGAGCCCCGTGCGCCGCCCGTCGTTCCATGAGAACGTCTTCTGCGGCGCGAAGCGGACGAACAGCAGCTGGTCGGTCGTCATGTTTTCGCTCCGGGCCACAGGCTCGTGCTGCAGCCACTGATAGGTGGCGGTATTGGCTACGGCGGTCCGGAGAATCTGGATGTGAATTGAATCGGCCGGTGTTTGAAAGTATGGAGAAACTTACCAGGAGCTCGCGGATGTTGCCGGGGATGGTCAAGTTCCTACGCACTACTTGGAAGAAGTCTGTCCAGGTATTGGCGACCAAAGGGTTATTCAGACTGTAACCTGTCAGACCGCCGTTCCGAGTCCCGCAGCTGCGTGGCGGGGAGGAGAGGGGGAAGGGGACGTACAGAGCACCATCGAGATCGAGAAGAACCCCTCCTGCACGAAAACTGCGCATTTTGTCGGCGATCTGGGAGGCAATGGTCAGTCGAAGCAAGCCAGCGACAACGGAGAGGACCCGCACAGCATTGGTGCCCGGCGGAGGGAAGATGTAAGGGACACGAGCAGGCAATTGGTTGTCTCTCTTGTCAGCGGTCACCGGACCAGCGAAAGCGAGCAGAGCGCAGAGTGCACCGGTGAAGAGGGTAAACTTCATGTCGAGAGGTAAGGATGCTCCTGGAGAGCCTCACAAGCACAGCGGTCTATGTAGATATCAGCTCGATACACATTGACAGTGACATCCTGATTACCGGCGCTGCGGAGTTGCGCGTGTAGGAGGAGAGAGACCATGCAGTGCTTCGATACATCTGTCGCCCCAGTGCTCGTATCTCGGGTCTGACAACGTCATTCGAAGACAGGCGCTGGATTCGTCCACGGAAGTTCTGTGTTTCTATAAGGCACCACGATGTGTGTATCGCAGCAAGCGCTTTCGGCCCGAGAATAACCACAGATCCCTGAGACTGGCGCGCGCCGTTCACCATGGTGAAGCACGATGCGAGTCCATGTGATGATGCCTGCGCCAACGAAGAGACCGCGCTGTACCATGGAGAGAGCCATCACACTTGCGTTAAGAAACAACACCCTTGCTTGGAAACAAGACGGATTGCATTCGCATAGTCGATGTGGCGAAAAGGCATCATGTGGCATGGTAAAAGCTTGGACGGATGGACGGATTTCGCCGTTTCCGGATTCGGCAATCACCAGCGGCGACACTGCTCATACATACCGTTACTTGCCATGTGCATGAAGCTGATAACTCGTCTCAATTTCACGGGGAGTCAACTGGACTGACCCATGCGCCTGAAACATTTCGCGGGCACCCTATCGACGCGGGAGGGACTGAAGGTCACCACACGTGAATGAACGCATTGGTACGTTCTCGACCTGATTCCAGCTGAGATTCAGCTACATTATCGCTCGAGAGCTGCTATCGGGACTCACTGTCCCAAATCCACTCATGTGAAGCCGCTGTGTCTCACAATCGGCACATGCACGTCACGGTCCGCGCGTACCAGGGACGCCCCCGTCGCGCACATAGCACGAACGTGCTTGACGGAGCCCAGCACTCCATCGTCCCCAGCATCCTCATACCGACTGTACGGATAGAACTGACTGGCCTCCAAAAGGGTGGTGCGGTGGAGGATGCGAGGTTGTGCGGACGTTTACGTTTGCTGAGCAAGACATGCGCGTTCGGCCAGAGGCTCCCTCTCGTAGGCCTTGAGAGATGAACACGGAATTTGAGTTAGCGTTGGCCTTTGTTCTTTTCCGCGTCACTGATTCTGGAGGAAGGTGAGTCTAGTAAATAGAGCAGCCGGCACGAACTGAGCAGTCACAGCACCACTGTCAGCCAGCATCGCGCTCGCCGCTGATTGAACGCACGCACCTTTGATTCGCAGGGCTCGACACCGTGAGCTCACGGAAGTCAAATTCCGGTACCCAAGTGATTCGCCAGGAGAAGGACCGCTGTTTTCTCGTTACTGGGGCGTGATTCACACCATGGGAGAACTCGCCTCCACGCGGCATCGCGCTTGCTGCTGCTGAGCTCCAAAGGCACTGTTTCGGCGTGGCTGCTGTTCTCTCGGCTGCGCTGCCCTGTGAGATGGGACACACAAATAGCTACCGCAGGTTGGCGGTCCTCGTAATTCCAGCTATCCTAGTCGCCAGTTTCCTCTTGTCCGGCATTCATTGTCCTCCCTTCGTCAAGCGATCAGGCTCAAGCTGTCTCAACATTTGATCTGCGTCTCTCACGAGCTCCGATCCGACTAGTTTCCGGTCGTAGCACAATAGCATCCGACACGCCCTTCTTCGAGTACCCTGACAGTCTCTGTCTCAGCGCCGGATAGCAGCATGTCGGCGCTTCGATTGCAAGCCATCGCGAACGAGTTGCTCTGGTCGTACCGTTGGAGATAGGGAGCTACTCTGCCCAGGGATAAGTTACAGAACCGTGCTAGCTGCGCTGGCTCGTGTGGCCGCTCGACATCACCGTTCTGGAATACCCGGGAGCTCTGATGGGCTCGACAGCTCAGACGATTCGTGCCCGGCGCGGCCTCCGATCGCCGGTTGTGGGGGTATGGAAGAGAGCGCAGCAGGAGTGACTGTTGCCTGTCGTGGAGAGAGAAGAAAGGATGTATCGAGTAAATGGCGTAACGGCTACAAAGCATCGTGGAACCACGAAATGCGCGCATGCAGCGCTGGGCGAGCATCTACCCGGGATTGTTCCCACTGACCCGGGATCACACATCTCACTACTCCAGGGCCATCGGAATCGGCGATGCAGAATCCCCGCGTCTAGGTCCACCGACTACGAAAGAATTAGAGTGAATCTGTCGTTCATTCCGGGAATCATGGATTCCGTGAGAAGAATATCGGCCATCGCTGCTCTGTCTGATTTTGCTCCTCAAGCAAGGACACTCGGATTGCTTCCTACCTATGCTGCACCTGTTCTTCTCCGGCACAAACTCGCACTGCGGATTACATGGCCTTCCTCGTCCGGCCGCCGCCAAAAAATCGCCTCACCTCGGCGATCCATGCCCGGAGATCCCATCGACATCAACCCCAGAGCCACCAGTTATTGAAGCCTCCGCACGGGTATTCGGCCTCAGTATCTCAGTGATCTGCGCCGATATTCGAAAGACCTCCTTTCTCTTGGGGACGCTCCTGCGTCTGAAATTTGTCTCGCTCGATGGATTTCGACAGTCGATGGATGGTGTTTCCAGCGTAATAAACTGGGTAGACCCAATAGACAACGTTGTGAGATCCAGGTGCGTGCTTCAGCGAATTCACTCGCCGCGGGTAGTGGGGAGGGTGTCTCCACTGTCGCACACTTGTCGCCCAGGTCAAGGAGCCAACGAGGGGGAATGAAACATTGATGTAAACCCATGTTGCAAACCACCAATGGCGGTGAGTTTGGACCCGTATCTCGATCGGCCTCGACTAAGGTTCCCGTCCAGATACGAATTCGCTAATCTGGAGAATCGGATTGGCCATTTTGAGAAGCTTGTTGATCTAGGTCCACATGTAAAGATTTTGTTGGAGCACACTTCGCGCCAACGTGGTCGTGCCGCCATACGAAATCCGGTGTACTCGGTCGCGGATAGCTACCCGACCATCACGTACAACCTATATTTCAACGAGAGGCAATCGGGCAGTCCGCTGAAATGAAACACTCGTGCACGCTTCCAGGACTCGATATGCATAGGGACCGATCGATTTGTGACCCACCTGCAACTTCGTCAGATTTTACGGAAAAGTATTATTTAGCTGATGAAATTGTGGCCGACTTGTAGGACACTGATCTAGATTTGCACGAAAAGAAACTCATCTCTCCTAAAAATCATCAAATCCTGACAAGTGCCAACAAGGGCACTGCACGACGGCGTACAAAGGTTGTTGCTGCTGATCAAAAGTAAGCTTCGGTCTCTGTGTCCTGTGTTAGACAAACGTCTGGCTCTAGATATGCACGTAGTGGACAAAATGATTGATCAGTTATTTTTTGATTTGAAATGGGCTGGTGTGACTCACTGAGGTAGCCCTAGAACTGTAGAGCAATCTTTGAAGACACATGTGGTCTGCATGATATTCACAAAAATGTACGGGATCTGCAAGCATGTTCTGGTCACCCCATTACTTCTCTGCATATGGGGTTCAGCTATTGTGAGCAACAATCAACTTGTACTTGCTCTGTGCTTACCACATTCACAGGTCAGCAAGATGGAGGGTGTGACCCCAAAGAATCCACCTCCTTACAAAGTCGAGAAGGCCTTCTGGCCTCTTGGACCTGATGAGTCAACATCTGATGAGTCCGCTACCCCCAATGATGAGATCTCCCTCCTGGCCTCCTGCTGTTTGAAAGCTGCAGCCAACAAGACCTCGTCTCCCTCTGTCACCATTAACAACAACTTCACGGCCTTTGCCAGCCTCCACCAACCCCTTGTGTCAAATGGACAAAGCACAAGCACATTTTGTGTTTCCCTAGCACTTACCTCTTCTGCCCTAATTCACCCTATCTCACCCAAATCAGTCTGCATGATGTTTGATGCATTCTGCCAAGCTTTCTGCCTTGCCCCTGTCATTTTTGAGAGCCTGCACAAGATTAGCATTGACGGCCTGCACATCCTTGCACATCTCACCAACACTGATTTGAATTGGTATCTGCCCCTTGGTCTCTAGCCGCAGTTCCACTATGCAGTCAGAGTGAGAAAAGGGCAAGCTGTCAGCTGATGGTTGAAGACACTTACAGGTCTCTTGGTTACATTGATATTGTTGCTGTGTTCTGTTGCTTTCCTCATTGCATATTCCATATCCAATTGTCATGTATTCTAGTCTGTCTCTTGATCACAATCTGTATTCTAGTGTTACAACAATGACTGTAGTGTCCAATTACTGTCTGAGTAGCAAGGGAAGGAGAACAAGACACAGTAATCCAGAATGCCAGAAGAACCCCCAGGTCATCTCTGGAGTAAGAATGGTGCATGCATGATACAATTTGAAGTAAGATTGTGCAACAGAAAAACGTGAAATCCCAATGCATTGGAGAAAGGCTTTCATGGTGGACCCGGCCTGTTCAATAGGATTCAGATGGGGAGCGCAAGGTGGCAGGTGTTCAATGTAGCGGCCTGTTAGAGGACAAGAAGATCCAAAGATCAATATAGCACAGACCAATGGGGACAGACACACTTGCCATGTGCTTCAACAAGCTCTTGGATGTCTTCAGAATGACAAATCCTTGTATTGTCAAGGATAAGGACACTGGCCTGGTCTGGATATGAATTCATGACTGGGAGCTTGCATTCAAGTTAGCAAATGGGACTCTGAGCACATAGCAGCACAGGAACATACCAGGTCATTCTCTAGGAAATCATAGAACGTGTCATGGTCAGAAGACCCCTTGATTGCACACGCTGCAATGATGCCCTGGTTCAAAGCCATGGCTTTGATCACTGTGTATTGTTGCTTTTACACAACCTCCAATGGAGGCACAACCACAAAGTCTCACATATGTTTGGTCGTCTTCTGACATCTCATCCACACCAGATAGTTAACCAGATAATCTGCAATCCTGGCCAGAAAATCTCCCTCCAACACTGGATCCCTTTTGAAGGCCATACACTGATAGGCTGGCTACCAGATGTGCCCTGCACCAACTCTATAAGAGTGTATTTTTACGCTTTTACAGAGTTTACTCTTTGAAGCACTTGGTGTATCATGTTGCAGGTGCCAGTGTCATGTTCAGTAGGACTTAAGGGTTTGCTGCCTAGTCAATGACTGTGAATAGTGTCAACAATGGCAAGGCATTCAGACCACTACTGTGGAATTGGCCTTATAAGTCTATACCAGGCTCAGGGCTAGTAGCGACAGACACATAGGTTGCGGCAACTCTTCAAAAGGGTTACCCTTCATATAAAGAACCCACATCAAAGGGCTTAGCAATGTGTGACGTGCTCAATGAAACAACTGCCACTAAAAAGGACAGGACCTAGGCATATAGGCCAGGATGTCCAATCCAAAACTGCCCATTTTTGGCAGGTCTGTACCTGCCTTTTTTGTCCCAGAGCGTCCAAAAACAGGCTCGTGCATCATGGCTGTGGGGCTCCAGTACCCGATATAGACAGGGACCATGAGGCTGTGTTTGTTCCGATAGATCCGTTGATAGATTGCTGTTCCGAGTCTTGGCTTGACTTCTTCCTTTTGATCAATCCCCCACGCTGAACGATAACGTGCGAGCACGCATCACAACGCGACGCAATCAACAATGGACGAACTTCCGCCTAAACAGGGACGTGGTGGATATCGACCCGGATCTGGCCGTAAGAAGAAGGCTAAACCCGCGGCTGCAACACATCCCGAATCGCGTCCTCGCATACAAACTCCCTCCTCCCAACAACTGCAACCGGGAGCGCCTGTCCCTGCCTTCTTCCTCCCGCAAAACAACTCACGCACCATTCCTCTTGGCATATTTGCGACACCGGGCCCTACGGTGGCCAGCTCATCTACTGCATCTCAACCCAGACAACAGCTTCTCACACGGCGCGCTGGTGTCCCGTTCTGGTCGAGTTTTGCCGCCACGGCTGCTGCAATTGATGGTGCTTCACAGCGGGAGGCTAATCGAGGTAAGATGAGTCTAGATTCGATGCCTCTCACACCCAGCCCTCCTAGATCGGGGGAACGACTCACTGGCTGCCTCGGACCTTGTGCAACTCCAAGACGGGATCGAATTCCTAGAAGCTAATGATGAGCGCGGGGATATCATAGCTGGTCCCTCCCAGATTGTGGATGAGTCATTAGTGGACGAAATTTCTCCTCGAAGTCCCGCGGACGACAGCGAAGAGGCTCAGAATGAGACTCAGGAATCGGAATCCTCTGCAGGATCAATTACTGCGAAATATCTCAAGGAGCTTCAATCTCGTCTTGTTGATGAGATCGAGAAGCACGGGAAACCGCGCTGCTATCAAGAGGGGCATTTTTTCGAGCGCTCTCCTCATCCTGTGTTCGCATTACAGTCGGGGAGTGTATCCCCTGATGGAATTGATCCCGGAAAGCTCTATCTGCGTGACACGTTCATCTGGCTACCAATGTATCTACCCGGGCGCCCCGATAAGTTTATTTGTACCTGCAAGAAACCGTTAGTTCTGAATGGTACGTGTCTATTTATTCTATCATCAGACACTTATGGGGATGGGAAAAACAGGATATAATACTGATCCTATTGCGCGTCGAGTGCGTTCTCTGCCCGACGACTTCTTCTTGTTCACGAATCGATTTGTCTGCTCTAAACGCCGGAATAACATGGAAGGCTGTGGGCTCAGCTTCCAGGGCACAGATCCACATATTATCGCTCAGTTACCTCGCTTTGTACAGGCTGCTTTCCCTGGTAAGACCATTACAATTATGATTTTTGTCCATGGCCTATGAATAAACGCAGCATATATTTCTGCCCGGGGTGCCATTTCCAAATTTATGATGTGCGTAATGATGAACACATTTGCCGCTCGATTTGGGCCTGCCCCGTTTGCCGAATTGGTTTCAGAGATCCAACATCGGTCTCACGCAGACCGAGAGATC